CTGTGGATTTAACCCGGTCATATTTAATCCAGAATATCCTTAAACCGTAGATTACTCCAGCAGGACTTTGACCTGTAATAAGTGAGTCACTTTAGATAAAAGCGTCAGACAAATGATAAAGTAGCAGTATTTGAATGGGAATATTCTAGCAACGTCACACATGATTCCCATTAGGGCCTATTAAGAGCTGAACTGTCTGTCTGAAATGAAACTATAGTTTGTTGGAGTGGCTTGTACCAGTGACCTCCAGCACAAGCTCCGTGTAACATGAGTATGATGTGAAGGCATGTGTGCGTTCACGTGTGTCCTTTTGTATTTACAGTGTGTAATGAGGAAATGATAAAGGTTAGGTTTTAAACTCCCAAACACTGAAGCAGTTGTGTTGCTCTTTTGTAAGGTCACCACTGCTAGCGGCTTTTTTTCCCACAGAACTTCAAAAGCATCTGGATGTAATTTGTAATTTTCAAGAGTTACCATGTGGAAGAACGTAGGACGAGAGCGGGCCAGAACCTGAAGTAGGATAGTGTTTGCTCATTAATTTCAAACAGAGACACCTTTATGTAGAGACAATTATGTAGAAACTGAAATGTATGTTGTAAGAAAAATAGCAATAAATTGATAATGAATGTTGTGACGATTGGGTAAACCTTTGGTCTAAAAAAAAAAAAGTATGCTTTTGCATGCTTTCCTCTAATTGTCCTGTGTTTGAATTTGAATTGTATTTAAATGCACTTGTTTTCCTCTCTATGCATTTTTGTGTTACTTTGAATGTTATTTTGAATGCACGTTCACTTTACCTGGCCGTGACTTTGCAGTTTCTAAAGGGATAGTCCACCCAAAAATTAATTTATATATTACCATTCACCAGTGCTGAGTTTTTACTACTGATTACATCTAATCTAGATTACGTAATCAGATTACAAAAATGTAGTACTTGTAATTAAATTATATTACATTTTAAAATGCTCATAATCAGAGTACAGTTACCTTTTTTACATTACAAATTATTTACACAATGGCAGTAATATATTCATAATTTATTGATTCTCCCTAATTCTTCTTTTTTTTTTTTTCCTTTCTAAAAAATTTCTAATGTGTCATATCATTTAGCTTTGAATATTCTCAATATAGAATGGCCATGTAAATTTCATATAAATTAATTTGTGATCCATGCTTCAGAACATGGGAACAAAAGCACCTCAGTCAATTATATAATGTTAATATTTAAATAATTTAACAAAACATTCGCATGTTCACAGCTCTCTGAAGTCGGTTAATGGTCACATTGACATGCAGATTAACAAATAAAATATTTCAAATGTAAAAACGTCATTTTAATTGGACATTTTTATGATTTAGTTAAATATTCTTTTCATCAGTTCACAAACCCTTGGCATCTCTTTCATTGAAATGAAAGTGTAGTGATTTACATTAGGTTTTGAATAGCAAATCTGCGTATCTGTTTTAGTATTATAAGAGTTGCCAGAGAAACAAATCATAGCAACTCAAGTGGTAGAAGCTTCAAGTGGTCTTGTTGTTATATGCTGACGTTCAGGTTTGGTAACATTCTTTAGAAGGCAGTGGGGTGTTGTTGAAGGGATAGGGTAATCTATGATCTATGTGATTTTATTTTTTATTTACTGTAACAGTTTAACACAATGTAGCACAAGACACTGCTGAAACTGTAATTTTAACGTCAACTACTTATAATCGGAATCAGATGAGAATTTTATTTGAAATTTCTTTGTAAAGCTGGTTTGAAGCTCTGTTCTTTAGTGTTTTTAGTGTTATTAGTAGGGATGCACCGATCCGATATTTAGTATCGGTATCGGCTCCGATACTGGCATTTTCTGCCGGATCGGGTATCAGTCAGATGAGTCCGATCCAAATCCAATATTCTGCATATACTATTCTGTTATTGTTAACCCTACGAAAGGCAAAAAACATTATAATGCACCATAAAGTTCTCGTGCACTATATTCCAAGTGTTCTGAAGACGCTCCATAGTTTAATGTGAGGTACAGATGAATATTTAAGTCGTTGAATTTAAGTTCTCGTAAACTTCTCTCCACTGCGGCTGTCTGTCATCCTCCATTCAGCATTCTTGTTCGATTACAACAGTCAAAACAATGAAACTCTCTCCAAGAGTGCACAGTACACTGTTAAAAGAAAAGGCATAATAAACTATCGCACAGATATAATATACTACGCATCAGTATTTCTTCTCTTTGTGCTTTGAACTTTTTTATCGCACTCATTTGTTATTTTTCTTTCAAAAGAAAGTTGTCTATATTTAGTAGATTGTGTTTAACACAAAACAGTGATGATCTGGTCACCACACTGAGGTATAGAAATTCTACATTGATTAAAAAAAACAAAAAACAGTGGATCGTTATCGGCTGATACTCAGAATTGTTGGTATCGGATCGGTTCTGAAAAAATGGTATCGGTGCATCCCTAGTTATTAGAGGGCTAGAGAAACAAATAATAGCAACTCGGAGTACTAGCTTCTCACAGTCCTGGAAAACCTTAAAATATCAGGAAATTTTCAAGCTTTGAAAAGTCCACATTTCGATAGTTATTATAATTTTTCTAGTTACACTCTTAAAAATAAAGGTGCTTCACGATGCCATAGAATAACCTTTTTGTCTAAATGGTTTCTTAAAGAACCTTTAACATCTGAAGAACCTTTCTGTTTCACAAAAGGTTATTTGTGGCGAAAGAAGGATCTTCAGATTATAAAAAGGTAAGAAAGAGATGGTTCTTTAAAGAACCTTTGACTAAATGGTTCTTTCTGGAACCAAAAATGGTTCTTCTGTGGCATCGCTGTGAATAACTTTTTAAGCACCTTTATTTTTAAGAGTGTATGCTCAGATTTAAAGTATGTATTTGACTAAAAACAACTCTTCTGAGTGTGTTCTCTATAAAACAATAGAAAATATAGTCTAAAATATATTTTTTTATATTTTACAGTCTTCCATATTTAATTTGAAATGACCCTGCTGTTTAGCAAATTAATTTTTAGCAGTACAAATATTAGATACATTTTGGTGATTTTTT